ACAGACCCTCGAATATGCAGTACTTTTAAAAGTCGCTAGCCCGCTCGATATAGTATCTAGGAGATTAATCGTAGATCCTTCCTCTTGTTTAAAACAAAGTAATAGTTTTTATCCAAAAGGCTAGCAGGCCGACCAGTGGCGAAGAGGATAAGGCTTTCAAGGGTGGAGCTAAATAAATAATAGTAAAATGAACTGTGGGTACGTGGTATTCTTTAACATTGTTCAATTTACTCGAGAATCATCATAATAATTAAGAAGCTGCGTTCGCTTGAATCAGGATCCAAATATAATTACATGAACTGTCGTTATGATTTAGGGCATTTAAATGTCTCTCAGAACCACACCCTCACACGGTCACGTAACTCGAAACTAGATAACTAGCGGTTTATATGACTTGTTGCTCATGTACAAATATGTATGCTATCATCACTGGATGACACCCTTCTCATGTGTGTCCGAGCCAAGCAGGACTCGAACCCTAGACATCAATGCCAGTATGATCTCAATCTTCCAAACTTCAGACAATAAACAACCAGTTTGGGGTTAGATTAAGTCTGATAAGGTTACCATCATCAGGTGTAACAAGCTAGGTTGTCTAATCTTCAGGTGATCCATTCTTTTTTACTTTACTTTTTATCCTCTTCGCCACTGATCGGCTTGTTAGCCGCTTGGGCGATCGGTCACGACTCTTTTCCTTTATATTCTTCACCAAAAGGTCGGCTCGCTAGCCGCCCGGGCGATCGGTCACGTCTCTGTCACGCACTGTTGGCAAATACTGGGCATGCACCGGCTCCTGAATGTACCTGAACCCGCTCCAGTGTTGGTCAAGTCTTCTCTTGAAAGAGCTCACACTCGGTGCCGTCACAACACTTTCTGGTAGATTGTTCCAAGAGTTTACAACCCTCACTCCGAAAAAGTTTGCCCTCACGGTTTTCCGGACTTGCGGCTTCTTCAATCTTGAGCTGTGACCCCTTGTGGGGCGAGCGTCCGCCAGCTCCAAGTAAGGACACTCAACTGAGTAGTGCCCCCTGAGATGCTTATAAACCTCAACTAGGTCCCCCCTTGCCCGTCTGTAGTATAAGCTAGGCAAGTTCAGGCGCTCCAATCTCGCAGGGTAGCTGAGATGCCGAAGTGCAGGCACCAGCTTGGTGGCCCTCCTTTGAACATTTTCAACCAACTGACAGTCCCTAGCATATCTCGGGGACCAGATGGGGTGACAGTACTCCAGATGGGGAAGCACTTCACTCCTGAAGATCGTCACGAGGGACGGACCGTCTAGATATCTGAACGACCTTCTTATAAGACCCAATAATTTATTTGCCTGATTTACCTTCTTCTCACAATGGCCCGAGAACTTCAGCTCATTGTCAACATACACACCTAGGTCCTTCTCACACACAGTCTCAACTAGTACATTTTCTTCATCCCGTTGGGACATATGGTACGCCTCCTTACCGTTGGTACGCCCCAGGTGCATCCTCTTACACTTCGTGACATTGAATCTCAGCAGCCATTCCTTCGACCATTCCTGGAGCCCACAGAGGTCCTTCTGCAGCTCTTCACAGTCCGCTTGGTTCTTAATTTCCCGAAATAACTTGCCATCATCGGCAAACATTTGTATGGAGGAGTGTACAACGTCAGGCATATCATTTATGAAACAAACAAACAACAGCGGGCCCAATACACTACCCTGCGGTACCCCACTTGTTACAGGTACAGATGACGATTTCGTGCCATTAATCACCACACATTGCTTGCGGTCATGTAGAAAGTCTTCTATCCACGCTAGGACATTTCCCCGAATTCCGTACCCTTCCAGTTTGATTTTCAGCCTTTCGTGGGGTACACTGTCGAAAGCCTTGGCAAAATCTAGGTAAATATTGTCGATATTACCACCCCGTTCTAGAATATGGGTCCAAATATCCAATACCTTGAGCAATTGTGTCAAGCAAGAGCGCCCCGGCATAAAACCGTGTTGGCAATCTTTTACAAGGTTGTTTCGTAGTAGATGTTCCATCGCTGCATCTCTGATAATACTCTCAAGTACTTTACATATTATGCTGGTCAGGCTCACCGGTCTATAGTTGTTCGTGGAGTGCCTATCGCCCTTCTTGAAGATAGGACTCACATAAGCCACTTTCCATTCACTGGGGACCATTTGTTCATCCAGGCATTTACAAAACAGAATCTTCAGGGGCTCTGCAAGCTCGTTGCACAGCTCCCTTAGCACTCTAGGATGCACCATGTCAGGTCCAGGACTCTTATGGACCTTTAGCCTGGACAGTTTATTTCTAATACCCTCTTCTGTGAACACAATGTGGGTCAGTGCTGTGTCGAACCGTCTGTCCTCAAACGCAGGAAGGTTAGTTGCATCCTCTCTTGTGAACACTGAGGAAAAGAAGCTGTTCAATGCCTCAGCTTTATCCTGGTCAGAATCTGCGTAACTACCATCTTCAAGCCTCAGGTCTGATACTCCTACTCGCGTTTTCAATTTCGACTTTGCATAGCGGTAAAACGCCTTTGGGTTTGACTTGACCTCGCGTGCAACCAGCCTTTGGAACTCCTTTTCAGCCCTCCTACACTCTATCTTTGCTTGGTTTCTGGCTCTTGCATACATCCTCCTGTCTTGCTCATCGTTTGACCCAACCCACGTCTTGAATTTCTGGGTTTTCTTCTTAATTTTGTCGACCGCCGCATGGTTCATGTGTAGGGATCCCCTCGTATTCCTAGAAGCACTGGGTTTGGTCTTGGGTATATATTTATCGATCAAATGGGTCATTTTACTAGTTATGATATTCAGCGTAGTGTCTGCGTTCTTGTACCTTAATAAGTCAGGCCAGTTGATACCCCTCATCTCTTCCCTCATCCCATTGTAATTTCCCTTGTAATATTTGCACCTTGGCCTGGCCTTATCTTGAACTAGGTAACAGTTAAATCTGAATGACAACACTGTATGGTGACTGGTGCCAACTGGGGCAAGGTGTTCCAGTTTGGCCACCATACCCTCCTCGTTTGTTATGATGAGGTCAAGTGGCTTGGGTGTTTGCTCCCCTCTGTAATGTGTCGGGTCTCTCACATGTTGGAACAGAAAATTATCTCTCAGAGTTTCTACAAAAAGAGTAGCAGGATTATTCAAGTCATTCGGGGTTGACTCGTTTCTCCAGTCGATGTCGCCATAGTTAAAGTCCCCCATGATAAGGAGGTGGCTGGGGTTGAGCATCGCCGCATTGTTTATTAAGGTTCTTAAGTTCCTTTGATTTAGTGGGCCACAGTTCGGGGATCTGTAGATACACCCGACGATAAGTAAGTCCCCTCCCTTTAATTTAATTTTACACCACTTGGACTCTTCAAAGACATCCTCTCCCTGTACCCTCGTTAAAGTTTGTACAAGTGATGACTCCGCCAAAAATTAATTGGTATCTGGGATCACCTAAAGTCTCCCGAAGATTTCCCCCAGCTTGTAAATGAACCAACCTAACGCTGCCTGGGACGTTGTGTTCAGTTAGGGGTCATAGCTCAAGGTTGAAGAAAACGCAAGCCCAGAAATCTGTGAGGGGTAACTTTTTTGGAGGAGAGTTGTGAACTCTTGTAACAATCTGCGGCTCTGCCAGAGAGTGTTGTGCAACTTGTGAGGGCACCGAGTGTGAGCTCTTTCAAGACCAGACTTGACAAGCACTGGAGCAGGTTGAGATACATTCAGGAACTAGTTCATGTCCAATACAGTACTTGCCAACAGTGCGTAACAGAGAAGTGACCGATCGCCCAAGCGACTAACGAGCCGATCAGTGGTGAAGAGGATAGGGTAAGTAAATAAGTAAGTAATTTTAAGGTGATATTGTGGAGTATGGGATGTTTGGTTCACACTCAGGGTGGGATGGAGAAAGGAAACACACAAAGTGCTCTCTGTATACATGTTGTATTGGATGTACAATGCAGCTTGTTGCTGGGTAGGCAGCGTGGTTACAAGCGTGATGTAGAGAGAGCTGGTTGGTGAGGGTGCTCAGAGGAGGACCAGCTTGTGGGTCGCCATGCTCGCCGGCGGGAGCGAGGACCGCCAGGCAGCGGCGGAGGAGGTGTAGCTTGCTGCGGCTGTAACTAGAAGAGAGTGGTCACCACGAGGTCAGGTCTTAAATAGCCGGGGTAGGCGTGGCTTAGTAGTTGACCTCCGTCATGTAAGGCGGCGCTGGTTGACCCAGACCACGAGGCATACACTGGGGAATTCGCGGGGTCGGCTACTCAGCGACAAACAGCGTTTGTAGGGGAGGAATCCACTACAATATAAGTTAAAAGGCTTATATCTTCTCTTCTCTATCTTTACATGATTTAATTCTCCTAAATTACTAACTCAATGACCGAACAATCAGGTTAGACGATTTAACCCCCGAGTGGGAGCTCTTGCACGACCTGCAATGAAGCCAACAGTGCGTAACAAAAACGTGACCGATAGCCCAAGTGGCTAACGAGCCAATCAGTGGCGAAGAGGATAAAAATAAAAGTAAAATGAAAAGCATCAAAACATCCATCTTCCATTGGACTCTTAAGTATATGATGAGATTAAAGCATATTGTTTTCGTACACTGGGCAGGGAAAGTCGTAAATTAACAAAGATTAGACCTACCACCCAAGTAAGCTGATAAGTGGTAGAAGTTATAAATAAAAATTAATAAAATAAAGTAGGGCTAAAAATTCTTACGGTAACAAATTTAGGAAAGAATTTTTTAAAATCTACATTTTGAATCTAATTTCTTGCTGTGAACATAACCAAAATTGCGTCACTAGTTAGTGCAACCAAAGTGATTAATGTTAAAAATATCCAGAACATGCTTATCAAGCTCTTTTGGGTTTCAGGTCATATAAACCAACTAAACCCGTCCTAAAATAGATAAAATATCACGTGACCATTATTTTATGTTAGAGTAAGTTTGTTTCAGTTCAATTGCTCCTGATGATAATAGTTGTTTAAAAGATCATATTCGTGGTAATTTTTTTACATTAACTATGTTGCGTCATCTCGTAAACAAATAGACGAATATACCATAAGGACCGAGAGGTTAAGTGAACCAACAGCACTCGGTCTTCTCTGTTGTGTTAGGTAGGTATATTGATAAGATGTTGAAAAAGGGAAGACATTTTGTTAGTTTTAATGACTGACAGCCGTAGTGGAGACTTATGCTAATTGAACCATACCGTAATATTTGACAGCAGACGACGTGAACCAAAAATTCCATTCTTTGATCAGGTCGTCTGCTATAAAAATTACTTAGTCTGTTATAACCTCCAGCATGAGTGTCAATAGATGTATTTCTGTCTCTTAAAAGGAAATGACAAAATATGGACGAAAAGTATATATTGTACTGTATATCTTAGCCTCGTCGCCACTGGTAAGGTTATTAGTTTTCCGGTATTTAAATTTTTGCCACAAAACGAATCTCAGGAATTTAATAGTTGTAATCAGTAATTTTGACAATTCTAAGACACTTTATTTAATGTCATTTCTGGCGCAAATTACATTTAAGCGAGATATTTAAAATTGTATTAAGTATGTTCGTATGTGGCGCTACACATCCAGAGCATCAGACGACAGTGGAGCCAGCCGGTAGGTTAGGTTAGTGTGGGGTTTTGATTTTCCGATAGTTTTCGATGTGTTTTGAACACTTTTTACCTTGATTTTTATCGCAGATCTCTAGATTCTGAGAAACTATTGATTTACACCAGAAATGAAGGTCAAATTCGTTCATAACACATCAAAAACCATTGGAAAACTGTAGTTTTAACTTGGATTTCTATAGTGGCAACAAGTGAAATTTTACCAATTTTCTATGTTCCCATGCCAGATTTACACACCGTGTATCAGAACAATCTTATCAGTAAATTTAAGAAGTAGAGTTACAGCTTTTATATGAATATTTAGTTTACAAAGCTGCATGTGTGAAGGATGTTAGAGTGTTCCAGTTTTGTGTAGAATATAAACATGGATGTCCTAATTCTATTTTGAAGGTTATAAAGTTCATGGTCTTGGAACTTTCTTTCTGTTTACCCCTTTAAGGAAATGTACCAAAATTGTGTTTTATTATTTTTTTAATGTGTTAGAGGTGCTATATTACAGTAATTAGGTAGTAAATTACAGTAGAGTAGATAGGTTGTTTTTTGTTGTTTTTGAACCATTTAACTTTTTTAAAGTAGTATTGTATAATATTGGGGGTTTCTTGTAGTTAGGGTATTAAATAAGATAGTTAATCAGATTTTTTTGGGGGGGGGGGGTGGTGGGGGGGGGCATTCAGTGGGCCACACACCCCTTTGTAAATGTCAAGATCAGCCACTAGAAATTACAGTACAGTACATAGTCTACACAAAAGCCCCTATATTCATGCTGAACTACATGCAGTACCTGTATAGTTTTATATATGAGAATTTCACTGAAAAATATTATCACTATTATTCAGATTTGGAAGACTACACTGCAGCTTGATCTTCAAACTGTTTCCACTTTAGTAACCTAATCTTAAAACATCCACTTTCAAATTTCCAACAACATAATACAGTACATTGGTAGTTGTGTATTTTTGAAGCTGTTCAATGCTGTACTTTTTTTTATAAAACGTTAGTCATCAATAAACTAGCAAGCAAAAAATAAAATGTGAAAAAGTGGTGTCATTGCCAACACAGTTACCACTTTGTAAAAACAATGGTATTCTTTATATCACTAAAATAGTTACCTGTTCAAAACAACCACAATTGGTAAATTGTTGGTGATTTTTTCTATTTAATGGTGTAAAACTGTTGTAAATCTGTAGCTATCACCATTGCTCTTACTGAAGAACTGAAGGGAGTATATTCCTTTAAGTAGGCAAATAATTACAATACAGTATAGTTTTCTGCAAAATAATCAATTTGTTGCTTTGAGAAATTATTTCTAGATGTCTAAAGTTGGATGTCAATAACCTACTGACTATAATTATATAAATTGTTTTATTGAATAATCTGGTGCTATTGCACAATATCATGTAAGGCACAATGGGCTTAATGTGTTTTATACTTAGCAATTGCTTGGCAATGCCACCATTATGAGTGAGCCATCCTACTAGAGAATAGACTCCTTGGTTAGATACAACATGTCACCTGATAGCCAAGGTAACAGAAATAGGAAATTTTTATAAAGTTTTGTTCCTTGATGTTTGCTTAATGGTCAGTTACTGACCTGACAGTCACTTGAGATTGACTTCGACCATCAATTCAGTCACCCAAGGACCCATTCCCCCCTGAGCTGCCTTTAGCCTTCTAGCTGCCCCCTAGCCCCTACCTTACTTAATACTGTAGTAGCCCCCTAGCCCACCTAGCAGGTACCTTCTGTCTACCTCCCCATTCCTCCATCAGGATAATTATCATCTATATAGTGAAATCACAACTACAGTAAGTAAACTCTATTGCACCAGAACCTCACAAACTCCTTCATGAGATCCTTTGTCGCCTTCTTTGTACACTGTTTGGCCCAAGTTTTTGATAAATATAACAAATAATTTAGTATCTTAACCCTGCTTCATAAACCTTGACAATGAGGAGGAGGAGGCGGCGAGTCTTTTGTTAAAAGGGGAGTTTCATCAAACCCCTCTGGATCTGCCACTGTTGAGTGTTTGTACAAGTGCATCTGAGGCCTACTAATATTTTTAGTATGAATACTGTATTACTCTTCACTTTTTAACATGTTTTGTTTATATTGCAGGTTATGAGAGAAAGCTTTTGGTAAGCAGACCATTAAAAGATGGTCGAATTGTACACTGTTGCTCTTGGCCTGCTAGTAACACTTGACCTTGGATACTTTCTAAAAACTTTCATATTTGGAATTCACTCCAAGTTTTTTTCATCCAGAATTCATGTCTTAGCACCATCAAAACTCTATGGTAAGAGATTCTTTCTTTTGAAATATTAAAACTACAGTGTAAGTATTATGGTAAAGTGATTTTCTAATTACAGTACTGTACATCATCTATTTTTGTGCAATTACTTATGCATTAAACCTGCAAATCATAATTTTATTAAACCTTTTTTTCTTCACATACAAATGGATACCCTGTACAGTGCTGTACGTCTTTTCTCATCTTAGTACTTGTACAGTCTCATTTGAAATTCATATTTTATTTTTAGGTCTAGAGTCAGTATCAGTATTGTAAACTGCTTCTTAACACTTTTAGCATTATTTCATGCAGTACTTCTTTCATTTCCATCTTTATTTTTTCCTCATATTTTCACTTACCTCCCATGCTACATTATTATCCTATCTGTTATATATAACTCTTGATTTAATCTTTGTCTTGTCCTGGTATCCCTGGGGACTTATTTACTGTTACTATCTGCCCATGCATTGTAAGGGAGGTGGAAATCTTGATTTATTTGTTTTGTTTTATTAATTATTATGTGTAAGATGAGTTTTTTCTTTTATATATCATTTTATTGTTCTGTTACTCTTTTCTTTTCTGTTATATTACAGTATTTTCTTTTCTTTATTTTACTTTTCTTACTTAGTGTTTATTTCTTTCAATGTACAATTATCTTATTTTCTTAGTACTTCTTTCAATTATTATCAGGGCTTAGTTATATTCTATGCAATGGATTAACCTGGGAAAAACATATTATTCTTTCACAACACTTATTAGTATAATTATTATAATTATAAGGTAGACTGCCACCACCCAAGCTTTTATTAGAATATAACTGATATCATTAAAAATTTTAGGTAGCTTGGTAAACAAGCTTTTAGACACGTGGGTTACAGTGTTTATTTTCTGAGAAGCAATTGTTAAAGGGAAAGAGTGGTGATACTCACAATATACCAAATCAATATTTATTCAAGTCAAATGTGAATAAGATGACAATTTGAACACACTCAGACAAGAATGGACCACTAAATCTTACTTTATAAGTAACAAAATACAGTAGATCTTCAATTAACATTCAACATTTTATACCTCCTTAAGGGTATTATATTATTTCTTTGACAATAAAGATGGTAATTTTACACACTTGCTAATAGCACATATATTAATGCATTAATTGTAACCATGTTATTTCTGAGTGAACAACATGGGACATGTACCAGATGTCATATAAAAAACTTGAATACTGGTAATTGCAATATTTATGGTATCCATACTCAACTGGGACAATTATATTTCTGCTAAATAACCACAGTCATATACAAGAACACTACTTTGCACATATAATTGAGATTAGTACACCAGGGTTATTCACTGGTGTTTACTACAACAAATGAAGCACGCTATTAGCATCGGTTGGACTCCACTCCAGTGCACGACTAGAGAACTCATCTTCCTGGGTGTGGCTCCCAGGGCGCGTTACTCTCTCTGAACTTAATCTCACTGAATTAGAAACATCCTGTTTTGGACATCTCACTGGTAGGCAGCCACTGATCCCCGGTAGTTGCAGGTATTCAGCTACAATACACTGTGCCTGAGATACGATTAGGGAGCATCAAAAAGTGACGCTGTCCCTTGCGCACGCATTTATATACCAGGTAACTGGCCACTAAACGCATTGACATACATTTAATTTAAATCAGTTGCTGTACATTTGGCTTTGAAGATTGGTGTCATGGGTCAAATTAATTTCTTATGTCTACCGGTATTGTTTACAATCTAATCAGAGTTCGAGCTTGCCAGGCAATAGTGAAATGGACGTCAAATGCACAAGCTGAGAACGTCTTTCTTACGACCTCATCAAAATACAGACAAGGGCCTACTGAGAGTTTGCTGTTAGATCTTGGAGATAAGAAGACCGACATATTCTTTGCAGGAGATTAATTACTTTCTAAAATATAAAACTGACAATTTCAATACAAATATCAGATTCTCTGATGATTGGGAATCAAAATTATCTAACTTCAGTATCAGTTGGAAACTCAGGGCATCCCCAAGGACGATGTTAAGGATTCGCCACTTCTACTAGTAGACTCTACCCTAACTTGTTTGACAATTTTACTAACAATAAATACAGTTGAAGCTTTCAACATTACTCACAAGGGATCTTGAATGTTTCGTCTGTAATCAGACATATATAATTTGATCTAACATGTTTGCATTCAATTGCAATTTCAAATTTCATAACATGATATGAGATACTAAGGAATATCACAGTCTCGGAGGTACATGAGAGAAAACGGAAGACTTGGGCATACCGAAGCGGTGAGAAAATGGACGTCTCAATTGGGGGACTAAATACTGTACATCTATACATCCAGGAGTTGTGAAGACAAAACCTCAAATAAAATGCATTGAACTTTAACCAGATTTGGTTTAGGGATATCTTGTAAGTCTCAAACAGATCTCAATACACTGTATTATAACTTCTTTCCATAATGTTGTTCATAATTTGATCAGAAATGTAAATGTTAGAAATATCATGAAATAATTATCTCTGGGGTAATATGGTGTTGGTGGTACAGCAATAACATATGTATCTCACCATTACCTCCTGGGTTCGATTCCTTGCCTGGGACACATGTGGGAATGGTGTTATCCAATGTGACCCTACCAAATATCACAGGTTTCCTCCCGGTACTAAGCTGATAAGTGGCGAAATGATAAATTAAATAAAAAGTGGAAGGTAATGTTAAAGGATCTGTAGAAATCATGTAGAACAGGTATGTAGAGAAAGAGTTTTATGAATCGGTTGCAAATTGTGTGATTTGACGATTAATCAGGATATTAGTGTACAATACACTTGAACCTTACTAATTCAACATCCTGAATTACCCATAGAATACAAATTAGCAGAAGTATTTTAGTAATTCAAATAGAAACATTAATCGTACAGGGCCAAGCTGAGACATAATAGAAAACACATGGACTGTATATACCAGTGGAATATTATTGCTTTATATTACAGTACTGATAACACCTATAAAAAAATCTGTACAGTATACCCTGTATTATTTAATTTATAAGCCAGTAGTAGTTGAACAGGGGGCTGATAAGTTATCTTGTTCATCTGAATCTGTTTCCCTACTAGCATATCACTATAAATACTTTTATAAAGCAGAAAACTGTGATAAAATCCCTGACTTACGATGCAAGGCGAGTTTTTTTACCCGACCAACAAAACTTTCCAACCTATCTTATTTTAAGCAAGGAAAATTATCTTAAAGGTTCAAACATAAGTAATTTAAAAAGTATACTGGTAACTAATAACTGATGACATAAACTTTATACCCTTTACAAAATCTATACAAAACAAAACTGAAAACATAAAGCTCACAAATAAAAATAAATGAACAGTTCAATAAATCCCTCTTTAACAGTAAGTCCTGAGCACCACAATATAATAGCTAATCACTCTGGAGCAGTAAGAGTACAATAACACAAGTTACTTACGGTTTGGGAGACCAGATGTTGACTTCATGGCTATTACTCTTTAACTCTAAAGCCCACTAGATCTTCTGACCAGGACCAATCACAGGGCTCCACATACTTTAGTACTGTACTAGGACAGTCTAGTCCTATACCTCAGACTTTGATGGCCAGCGCCATCTTTTGAACAGATTCTTACCTAACCCAAATCCCTTTTACAGTACTGGTGCAGTCGTTCATCATAACACCAACAAAAATTTTGTGAGTCACATGCACAGACTCATAGACTAGCAGTAAGATTAAGTACAGTAAGTTCCTGGACTACATAACTCTTGGTCCAGATTGCATCACCCAGCCAGACTTGCAAGCTTCTTCCTCTGCTCCTCTTTTATATATAATCTAAAACACGTATTGACCTCCTGCAAGTACAGTAATCTAAAATATATAAAAACAAATATTTAAAATATTATTTCCTTATTCAATACCAGTATTTCATAATCAGTCAGCCACATATTTTTCTTAACCCCCTTCACTACAGCATACACCACTTTTAATATATTGTATTTGGCTAACACTAGGCGATTTTATTCAGCTCGGAGGGGAACCCGAACACAAGGGGTAAATTTTACGATGTCAAGTACAAAAATATGTTTGAAATTTATTCATCTTGGCAACTCTCTTGGTGGGACATTGGGTTATGACAGGCTGTGCAGATTAGCAGTGCCCAGTAGCCTACTGTAAATGGGCCCAGATTAGGATCAATTTATATTTCTGTTTCGATGATTGTGTATTTTTTATGAATTAAAAAATGTACAGTACTGTGCTTAAGGTACTGATGGATTCTTATTTTCAAATATAGGAATATGTACAACTCGAGACATAGACTTCTTGCTGAACCATATAAACAATGCCCGCTATCTCCGTGCTATGGACTTTGGGAGAGTGAACCACTGTATCCGTGCTGGAATCTTTCAAGCCTTGACAAGGAAAAACACAAAACTGCTAGTGGCTGCAAGCACAATTAGATATCGCAAGCCTGTGTACCTGTTTATGCCCTACATGCTCCATTCTCAAGTGAGTTCAAAACTTTTTCCAATTTTCAAATATACTGTACTGTAGCTGGTTCATAATATATATATATATATATATATATATATATATATATATATATATATATATATATATATATATATATATATATATATATATATATATATTATCTTTATTCAAGACATCTTCAGAGGCCTCTGAAGATGTCTTGAATAAAGACGAAAGCTAAGGTGCTCCGTTGTTTCCCTTTTCCCTTGTGATTTTATCAAGATCTATCTTATCCACGTTTTCATTGTGGATCTACATGAAATATATATATATATATATATATATATATATATATATATATATATATATATATATATATATATATATATATATATATATATATATATATATATATATATATATATATATATATATATATATATATATATATATATATATATATAAAACGTGTGGAGTAGATTAGGCAAGAATTCTATGCAAGTCAAAATGATCTGTAGGCTTTTGTACATTCTCTTCCCTCCAAGGGATGTTCCTAGGTGGAATAATGTCTCATATAGATACCCTGTACATGAATACTGTAGTATGTGGATAATTTATTTATTTACACACAGCTTGTATATTGGGATGAGAGAAATCTATACTACCGTCAAGATTTCGAGACCATACATGATAACTTTCTCCGAGCAACTGCTTACGTCAAGTTAGCGGTGGTAGGTTCAAATGCTGAGGGAATATTATCTGCTGTCCTTTCTGAGAGTCCTGTACGACCAGAAGCACCAAGTGATTTACTGTCTTGGATACAGTATAATGAACAAAGTAGTCAGAACCTAAAAAAACTCAAGTAATCTTGTGTGTGATTACTTAACCTGTACTGTATTTATTATTTGACTTTGATCAGAGGAAACTCTTGATTATCTTCATTGAGTCTGTGGGCTGTAATTCAAGCTAACCCCAAATAATAGCAGACATTAATTTAAACATTTAGTACAACTCTCCTGCAACAACCCGAACCCTTGAAAGAGAAATATTGGAGGTAGAAGTTTACCACTTAAAGCCAAGTGATGGATTTATTTTGAGGATTTTCATTGAGACTATAACATGTCTGTAATTCTGTAGCAATGTTTAAGTTTGCTTTAGCATGAGTACTATCCAAGGCTTATGCAACAGGATATATGTTACAGCATGTAAAATCTTATATGGATCCTTCTTTTAACCCTTTGGATGCATATTTTGTTTTCAAGTTACATTTTCAAGGAGTGTCAGTTCCCAGAAAAATATGGAATTGGTAACCCATACTATTTTACTACTTTTTAACCAAGATAAAACTATGAAGTTTCCATACCCAACAATTCTTAAAAAGTTACTGTGGCATTAGAAATAAAACAATTTATTAGATACACCCTTGAACAAATATTTTGTCATGTCCTTTGATTTCTGGTAAAGCAAACAAAGCAGTGCAATTACTCAACTTATATTTGTACTATGACATAAGAAAAATAATGGGAAGTCAAACAATATTGGGATAAAAAATATCCAGATTTAAATCTACTGTACTGTACACCATGAAGCTACACTCTGACAACTCATAAACAAATGTAAGATACATTGTATATTATCATAATACAGTACTTTATACCTTTATTTATGTATATTATGATAAATGACATACACTTACAAAGCATCACCTTACAATATTAAAATGAGAAGCAAATACTGTAAGTGTATCAGTGTAGGTGCTGGCAATTATCTGAGCGAGTTATTGTTTATGAGTGAAGTCATCACTGTATGACAACAGCGACAGACATTCGTCTGCCTGGAGGGAAGGGGTTGTTGGGGGTGCATTTCTTGATAGACGTACAGAAAATTAAAACCCTGCATTTGATTATATTCATGTGTCATTCAACTGCAGCTGCACAGCACATCCAAAGGGTTAAGACTACCTTTAAGATAATTGCCAATCACTTGGTCATTGGAAATGGTTTTTGGTTTCTAAGGATCATCTTGGAACCTAGACAAGGAAGATCCTGGCTCCAGCTCGATAAGTTAGGAAGGTTTATGTTATTAGAAGAAGGGTTTAATATTATATACAGTTGTACAGTACTGTACTTGGAAAACTTTTAATGGTTGCACTGGCATTTGGTCGAGTGGTAAATTTTTATCAAAGAATAGGAATTAAAGTTTTAGACCAAATGGTTGTAAGTTTAGGATGGATGTAAAATGTTTTCCCAACCAGTCAGTTCTCCGAAAACGTGTGTTATTATAACGTGATGAATGTGTTAAGAACACATTTTTAACAACACAGATGCGAATTAGATATAACGCAATTGAGTAAATGTAACTACTGTATGTTACTCTGGTAGGAATAACTGGTTACGTGGCTGCCTCGGCATAGCAACACAAAAGGCGGGATGCTGCCCACGCATTTCAGTCTTTGTTTATTTTCCATGCATATCGGACGTGTTATTGCAGACTGTACTTTACCTTAGTATCCACTTTATTGTTATTAATTGGGTGTGAAACATTCTGGTTAGTGGAAGTGAAGTGAAAAAACAACTATTACATGTAGTGTACAGTACTCTTGAATCTGTCTTCAGATTAACTTTACCTTCTCTTCCACTACCACAAGTCCCAAGCAGCAGCCTTCGCTTTTTGTGGTGAATGTTAAAACGTTTTAACAAGTTTTTTATATTATTTAAGGTTAAAATTTTTATTTAAAAAGTTTTATCATTAAAAGCATTTAAGTGACACATTCTGCTACGTATTATTTCATAATTTTAATTCTCCACCCTCCTCCATGGCACTGTTTTCTATCACCTAGCAATGTAGACTAACACACTTTAAAAAGCATCTTCCCCCTTTTCATATTTTTTTTTCGATTAATGAATGATATTATGGAACTAAAACATGTATTATAAAAACACAACTACGGCATTACACGAGAACTGACTGTATAAAAACCTGTGCACTTTTTCGTACACTATTACCTGCGTCAAGCAACATCCAATATATTGATCTGTCTAGTCTATAGAAGAACAAATACTGTAGTAACTTATGGGTAAGATCTAGGTTGATTTAAACACATTTCAATAGAATTATAATTTAATTTTATAATAAAACAACAATGTATCAAAATTCATTTATCAGTTTCTTCAGCTGACAATACATTTCAGTTAAACTAAGAGTGAGATTTACCGAAGAATAGCACACTGTCTTTAATACAAAAAGGTACAGACTAATGACCACCAGTTCATGGAGACAAGTGTTGAATATCAGTATCAGGGATCATTACCAAAAATGGTGCCATGTTGAGGTGTTAATGTAAACATGGTAGCAATCAAGCACATGATTATTATTGTACTTGATAAACCAAGTTGACATCTAAAACATGGTAAGTACTTATAAATATTTATTTAATTATTAATTTTAAGTATGTAATTATTTTGCCATTTACCACTTATTAGCTATTTTGGCATTGGTCTTCTTATTTAGTTTGTTTTTAACTTGAATGTCCCTTGTTTTTTTTATTAAATATCAAATTCTATAAAGTAGCCTGGTGGACAAGCATTTACTATTGTAGTTATATGAACTCCTTGTACATGGGGGTCTCTCTCTGCTGAATAAAATAGTCTAATGCTAGCCAAATAAATTTTAAAATTGGCATTCCCATAGTGAAAGGGTTAATGTTTTGTAGGGGGAAATACAGTGTGGCAGTTATCACATTTAAATCCTTTGTTGGCTATTGTGTGTTGGCATATTCTTTATGTGCTGCCAGTTGGGATTCGGCTTAATATCAACCAAATTTGAATACAGTATTAAGTTTTTAGGTGGTATACTCTATGTGTACATGTATTAATGTGTAAGAAGGAGATCAGTGCTTAAATAATTTCCATAGTCTTTATGTGAATGAGTAGAACAAAGGAAATTCTTGACGTTTTTTGTTGTGTATTTGTTAAGTGTTTTAAAATACGTAAGCTTTAATAAATGTAATGTACAGTACATAATTCAGTCAAACAAGAAATTGATGTAAATTGAAACAAATACAGAAACACCAGCTCGTCAAATCAATCAAATTTTCTTATGCAGCATTCAAAGATCTGTGTATAATAAAATTAGCTTAAGCAGTTTTAGTGAAACTGAAAAAATATCATCATCATCGTACTTATCAAAATATCATCATCGTCTTTATCATGTACTAACCTCTGAGAGGATGTAAACTTATAGGATAGGAGTTAAAGTGCATCTCAGGTCCCATAACAAAACATTCCTTCAAGTAACATGAGAGATCATTATAAGTCAAGTACTGTAACACTGTAGAACATTGAACCTGCTGATATGGCACAATATTGTTCTATTGCACAACTCAGGCACTTGTCAATATCTCAGTGTTAACTTTATAAGGACAAACAATTTAATGTTATTTATTCATGTTAAATAATGATAGGGGAAATTCTTAAATGTGTTATTTATTACAGTAGTGGAAATCTTCACTATGCCTTAGTGTATTGAAGTGAGATTCTTCAGGTAGTATTAATAGTTATACCAATAGATTTCTCCCCCTTTCTCTCAGCATTTATCTTTCAGTTACAGTATGCAGTATTACTGTAATTAAGAACTCATTACAATAATGTTTCACCATGGAATCCGCTGAATCTATGTCACAATGTAATCTCAAAATTTAAATGTTCTTGTGTTTGGCCACATCTTATAGTGCAATTTAATTTTAAGCTTTGTATTAGTGTAATAAGCAGGATCTGAATATATGTCCATCAATTCTTCAATTTGTGTTTATTTTCTCCAGTCCATTATGGTAATTGTTTACTAATGTCAAAGTTAGATATAAAATCTTCAAAGAGTTCCATAATATCTCTATCTCTCTCTCTCTCCCTGAAACTGTAGTTAAGGAGGACCCAAGGTAGTTCATATACTATTTTGGCTGCCATCTTTATGTTGTAGCATATATGAGTCATTTAGATGTATTCTCCATTTCTGTTCTGGTATGTGAGCTATTTTGTAATTTTGGGCAATTACATGAATTTTGTATTACCAATTTTGTTGCCATCTTTATGAAGTAATTACTTGAGGCGGTTGAAAGTTTCTCAACTTCCCATTAAGATTAATTTAAACAGGAAATTTTTTAAATCTGATACAGTATACAGTATATGGAGAATAAGTCAGGAGAGATTAGTAAGAAAAAATGTGACATCACAATTGAAGGTACAAGAATAATAGAATGACTGAGAAAGAGATGAACAGATTAGGTGAATTGGGTCTAGAAGTTTCAAATCAGATAAAACCCAATGAATACACGATTGTTGACGGAGATTTATTTTGTATGTGATATCAGTAATGTTATCACAGTAACAGTATATGAAGTGTTAGAGAAAGAATGCAGTATCTCTGATTGTCTTTGTATATTAAATATGTTAGTTAAGGGTACGAGGAAGTACTCTACTGAATGTTATTGTCTACAGGTGTATAAATGTGAGGTCTTTTGAGAAATTTACCCAGTAGGTACATTTGTAGAGTCCAAAAAGAAAACGAACCAGTTTCAGGGGTTATGTTAAAGACAGTGTTTTCACAGTCATTGAAAATCCTGAGAAGGTCATGGAGATTAAAGTAGTCATGGAACACTAGAAACAATTTAAAGGTAACATTCAAACACTTATCATGACCATAGTATGAATCTATTTTAGGAATCTACCTTGCTAAACTTTAACTTAAAATTATATTGTATATTTGCCAATAAAAAAAGTTTTGATATCAAAGGAAGACCACTTACTTACTAAAGAAAAAATGGGGTAAAAAAAATATACAGTATATGTACAATAATCTTAAACCTCTGACCTAAGGAATAAAGGTAAAAAATTGGCAGCAAGTTTTAAAATAATCATAAGAGACTTCTGGTACAGTCATGTCTTTCAATAAAGTTACCCTTTTACCATAGGACTTCTTAATATGACATAGATACTGTATATAGTGATCCCTGAGTAATATAATACCACAAAGTTCACCTTCTAAATGTACATTTATAAAATGGATAAAAATCTCATTATAATGGAATGCATTAGGCTAATTATCACAAGGCATTCCTCTTTCAGCTCATCAAAAGCAGGAAGGCAAGAGTCACTTAAGAATTATGTACAACCTTATTCCCTCTGTTGGATGCAGTCACCAAGTCCTCATTATAAGGAACAGTCACCACTGTAAGGTGCCCTCAGGGAACCAAGCACCTCCAGGAACATCTCCCTCATATTCTTTCATAAGTGTCGTCATTTTGTCCACATTTAACGAGGAAGAGAAAACCATCCTATAAAGAGACATTATATCAAATAAAATTTCCAGTTGATGAAACCAGTAAAATCACTTAAAGAGATTGAATGTCTCTAATATAAATTAATCAATAATACAGTAAGTCCGTAATGTGTGATCTCATGAAACAGCAAAGTGGAATTGTTTATTCTGTTTATCCACACATTTTCTTATGATTTTTTTTTTTGATTTATTAAAAAAAATTATCATTTAATTATACGTATCATCATTTTGAAGATGAAGTAGAAATATCTGATACTTTGTACAAGAATTCTGAAAAAAAAAAATAGATTATTAACTAAATTAATAAACCATCTTGCTGTATTTACTTTTGTTTTTACATTCTACAGTAATATCCTAGAGCCATTAGATCAAGAGAAGGTGGAAATGGTCAGGAAAGACATACAGAAAGCCCTCAGTTTATGAAGGGTTATGTTTCTTGAAAAATCTTATGAAAATAATATCAAATTGACTTTACTTGAGGGGGTTTGTGCTCTTGGATCTCTATCCAGGTGTATGTATCACTATATTAACAGATCTCTATTTAGGTGTATGTATCACTATATTAACAGATCTCTATTCAGGTGTACAGGTATGTATCATTATATTATCAGAGTTGTAAAAAGTACCGGACTTTGTCAAATAAAAGTATTGTTACATTGACAAAATACTACTCATGTAGAAGTAAAAGTATCCAAATGTCAATGTACTCAAGTAGAAAAAAAAATCCAATTCATAAAATACTCAAGTACTGAAAGTAAAAAGTAACAAAATTATTGTCTCAAATATTAAAATAAATCCACAGTAAATTACATAAAAAAATGTGGCTGTCCAAAAGAGAATACATTCAGCCACCCTTCTCCCAACAACCATAGCAGGCATAGTGAATGGGCTAAAAAATATATCCATCCAACACTTTCAATGGGGGAAGGGAAGGATAAGAGGGTAGGTTAGGTGAGGTGGGTGGTCAAGGTGCAAATGGACGCAAGGAGATCAAAAGAAAAGTCCGTTGTCATGGTCACTGCCACCTGACCTGACATCACCGCATGGTGTCTCCCCACACCCACACCGTACCCTTCACGGCTCCACCCACACAACTCTTTTACTATGGTCAATAAGGGGGGGGGGGGTAATTAATTTAAAAATATATTATTAGTTTGCCACAGACATTAAAACTCCTAGATTGGGGCATGTAAAGAGTAATGATTTTTTTCAATTGTATTGGAGTAAATGTATTAAAAAAGCATACTGAAATTAAAGTGCTAAAATTTTTTAGTACTTTTTAAAAAGTAAATACCCAAAAATATTACCTGGGTACAGTACTGTACTCAAGTAAATTTATTTTGTTACTTTATGATAGATGATGAGAGATCTTACCTGAACAAGAAGTGGAAATGCCATCCAAAAGCTAAGATGTGGCAGGAGTTCTATTCCTTGTGCCCCTATTACAAAGCGACGGTATATATAACCTATAAGCAGATAGGTGACAATAAAAATCAGCAGCAGCAGCAGCAAAAAGGACCCCAAGGACATGCCATGTGGGAGAATAGGGGTGCCGCAGCCATCAACACATGCACAGCGTGAAGATAAAGTCATTGTCTGAAAACAAAAATTAACCTAAATTTAACATGGAACAAAATTTTGTATATTTTCAACTCAAGTATAAATGCTAACAAATACTCTTCAGTTACCTGCCACCCCTTATTATTTTCTAATAACATTTACTTTTACCTTTAAATCCTTCAATAACTTTATTTCAAAACCATCAGACTGGATAATGTTTATAGTACAGTATTTATAAAAATTTACAGATGAACACCTCCAATTTTTTTAAATGGAGAGGTTCAAGTGTGTGTGTGTGTGTGTGTGTGTGTGTGTGTGTGTGTGTGTGTGTGTGTGTGTGTGTGTGTAGTGTGTTTGTATGTGTGTGGTGTGTGTTTGTGTAGTGTGTGTTTGTGTAGTGTGTTTGTGTAGTGTGTGGTGTATGTGGTGTGTGGTGTATGTGTGTGTGTGTGTGTGTGTGTGTGTGTGTGTGTGTGGTGTGTGTGTGTGTTTGTGTGTGTGTGTGTGTGTGTGTGTGTGTGTGTGTGTGTGTGTGTGTGTGTGTGTGTGTGTGTGTGTGTGTGTGTGTGTGTGTGTGTGTGTGTGTGTGTGTGTGTGTGTGTGTGTGTGTGTGTGTGTGTGTGTGTGTGTGCACAGGGTGGTGTAATGCATCTAGTGTGGCAGCATTATGTTAGAGTTAAGGTACAAGTACTGCTTGCTTCCTCTCGCTTTCAGCTACCGCCTCTGGCTAGCCCTCGTGGCAAACAGAGAAGCAACTTGCATAAGTCTTCCCCTGCTAGTACACAGCCTCTTCACCATCAAGACTCCTGTTGTACCTCCTCATGGCAACACACGGTAACTGGATGCCTTGTGGGCCCAGGATAGACCATCAGGGGATCTCGGAGTAGCAGTAGGCCCCAGAGGGATGGCGCATAGGCCCATTGGCATGTGGACACGTCCTGGCGCCTACCAGCCATTGCCCCGCTGCCTTGCAGATTAACCTTGAAAGGTATAAGGCTACGGGAGTAAACCCCGAAAGAAAAATCTGTGGTGGAGCCCCACATCAGGCAGACTTGCTTACAGAACTCCAACAAGACCCCAACTACTACTACATCATTGTCAACGAAAGAGATTGCCGAGATGTCTTCATCACCCGAGCAATGCACGGGTCAGACCACTGCAACACTGATCATTGGCTCGTCAGAGCCAAGCTCTCACTTCACGTCGCCCCAAAACGGCGAAGGCAACAAACCTCCAGAAGAGGTTTAAACACCAAGCGTCAGCAGGATCCAGCAGTAGCACATGATTTCAGAGAGTATCTTGAACATGGGCTGATAAACAACCCAACGACAAACAACCAAATCCCAATGCCGAATGGAGTATTCTCGACAGTCATGACAAAAACCTGCAGAGAGACCCTTGGCCAGGTTGAAAGAATGCACCAGGACTGGTTTGATAAAAATGGCTTGGAAATCAATGTACAGTACTCGTCGATGATAAACGTGCTGCTTTAAATGACTGGCAGAAAAACCCTCAGTCTTGGACCAAAACTGATACCTTCCGCAAGAAGAAAGCGGCGGTCCAGCTCAAACTTCACAAACTAAAGAACGACTGGTTTAAAAATAAAGCTTGTGAAATGCAAAAACTTGCAGATCAACACAAGATGTGCAAATTTTTAAATTCCACTAAAACATTTTATGGGCCAATCACTCATGGCACAGCTCCCTCCACTCATCCATAATTAAAGACGAAGAAGGCTCCCTCAGCGCTGGAAAGAGCACTACCATTCGCTGCTCAACTTCAACACTGATGTGGATGTCCTGACTACCCAGCAGGTCCCTCAGCATCCAGAGCTGACCCATCTCAACTATCCTCCATCCCTGGATGAGGTAGCTACTGCCATCAAACAGATGAAAAACAACAAAGCCTCAGGACCTGATGGAATCCCAGATGAGGTATATGAAACAGGAGGACCTCTGCCTACCAGCCATCTCCACTCACTCCTGGAGAATATATGGGAAAAGGAGGAAATCCCCCAGGCTCTTATAGACGCCTCCATCATCAATATTCATAAAAACAAGGGAGACCGGTCAGACTGTGGCAACTACCATGGGATCTCGCTTCTGTTCGCAGCTGGCAAGATTTTCACCCGAGTCCTCCTAAACAGATTACTACCTGAGGCGGAAAACTTCCTCCCAAAATCTCAGTGTGGTTTTAGACCATCACGTGGCACCACTAACATGATCTTTGCTGCCCACCAGAACAGGAAAAGTGCAGAGAACAACATCATGACCTGTACATGGCCTTTATCGACCTAACCAAGGCCTTCGACTTGGTCAACAGGGAAGCCCTCTGGCGGACCCTCAGCCGGTTTGGTTGCCCGCCAAAATTCATCGCCATTGTGAGGCAACTCCATGACAGCATGAACGGCAGTGTCCTGCACAATGGTACCCAGTCTGAGTTCTTCCCCATCCAAATGGGGGTAAAACAAGGAAGTGTACTGGCACCAACTCTTTTCCATTTTCTTGGCTGCCTTCCTTACTCGTGCCAGTGCCAATTTAGCCAGCAGGGTGGACATTGAGTACCGGATGAAGGATCTTTTCAAAATAAGATGACTCTAGGCAGGAACAAAGATGTCAGCAGCTTCCAATACTGAACTTCAGAATGCAGACGACCTCACCCTTGTTGCTCACACTGAACACGACCTACAGGAGATCTTGAACACCTATGCAGATGCATATGCACACTTCGGCTTTGAAGTGAATGTGCGTAAGACTCAGATTCTCTTTCAGCCTGCCCCTAGTTCAGCCACACCTCCACCATCCATCCAGCTTAATGGTACTACCCTCTCTAATGTTACCCACTTTCAGTATCTCGGCTCCGACTTGTCCACCACCACGGACATGGATGAAGAGATTCAACATCGGATCAGATGTGCATCTTAAGCCTTTGGGAGACTCCGTACCCATGTCTTCAGCTATAAGGAGCTGAAATTATCTACAAAGCTGCACATATATCAAGCAGTGGTCCTCCCCACCCTGCTATATGAAATGAGACATGGGTTACATACAGGAGGCATCTCAAGGCACTCAAAACTTTCACCAACGTAGTCTACGTTCCATCCTCCGGGTTCACTGGGAGGACAAGAGAACAAATGCATGTATTCTCTTTGACATCAACTGTAGAAGCATTGAGGCTACCATTATCCGTGAACAACTACGTTGGACTGGCCATGTTACCCGCATGGACAACAGTAGATTGCCAAAGCAACTACTTTACAGTCATCTAACGAACAGCAAACGTAAAGCTGGCAGGCAAGTGAAAAGGTATAAAGATAGTCTTAAGACAAACCTGAAAAAGTGATAAATCGACCCCTCACCTGGGAGACGATCACTTCACACCATAACGCTTGGAGGATCACCATACAAGGTGTCAATGCTTTTGAATTAGAACAACTGCAAACCAAGGCAGACCAGTCCCAGTGCCGGAAAGACTCTGCCGCTGCCCCTCCTACACTACTGTAGATGGAGCCATCCACATTTGCAACATCTGTGAATGACTCTGCCTCTTTAGTCACTTTAAAACTCACCAACCTAGGTGACATCCTTAATAACTCATATCATTGTATCATAGTTGGATGATCGTCATACTCGATTCCGAGTGACAGCAAAGTAGTAGTAGTAGTCCTCCACCCTTTGGAAGAAGTTATCAGTGTCAATTTCATTCCTAAATTAGTGAAACACCCTGACTTAACCCCAGCAGAAAGAGCACTTCTTGCACTTCCATCAAGACTGGGGGGGATGGACTAACCAATCCAGAGGAGATTGCTGCCACCTAATATCAAAATTCACTTAAGCTCACGGCAGCCCTCACAGACCACATAATAGCCCAGAATGCAACAGGGGAGGTAGATACCAGTGAAGTAAATAAGATTCGTAGGTCCATTACGACAGATCGACAGCACTGCCAAAATGATAAGTTGCAGCAACTGTTGCTGCAGGTACCAGAAAATTAAAAAAAAAAGTAGCTATAGCGCAGGAGGTGGGCGCCTCGAACTGGTTAACTACGTTACCGATAGGGGCAAATGGTTTCAGTCTTAATAAACAAGAATTTACAGATGCCATTGCTCTAAGGTACGGTCGGCCAGTAGTAGGTTTGCCCTCCCAGTGCGTGTGTGGCTCTTCCTATGACGGCGATCACGCCATGGTGTGCAAGAAAGGGGGGCTTCATATGTATGAGGCATGACGAGGTAAGGGACCTCACCGCAAATATGTTGAAGGAAATCTGCCGGGATGTCATGGTAGAACCGACCCTCCTTCCATTGGATGGTGAGATCTTCCAACACAGGACTTCAAACACATCTAACGAAGTCCGTGTGGACGTCAGTGCTCGAGGATTCTGGACGCGGGGACAGCAAGCTTTCTTCGACATCAGGATTTTTTTATCCCATGGCCGCATGTCACCGTAACCTAGCTCTCGATGCTGCACATAGGAGGAACGAGAACGACAAGAGAAGGGCATATGGGGAGAGAATTCAAAATGTTGATCAAAGCAGCTTCACTCCTCTAGTGTTCACAACCTCTGGTGGGATGGGACCAAGCGCAAGATGTTTCTACGCCAGACTCGCGGAGGTGATCTCCGAACAGAAGCAGCAGCCCAGAAGTTATGTTACAGCCTGGATGAGATGTCGGCTGTCTTTCTCTCTCCTTCGGTTGGCTTTGCTCTGCCTCAGGGGAACGAGAGCTTCTGCCCCAATTCCGACAACTGCTGCAGATATTGACTATGAGGCTACAGTCACTGAATGCCGCATAGATCTGCGGCTCAACTAATTCAACACAGATAGGATAGCTACTTATGTATTAGGATATTTAATATTAAGGTAATAAAATGGTGGCGAAGGTGTGGCTATTGGGGGAGGCTGGAGGCCACGTTTTAAAAAAAAAAGTAGTAGTAGTATGTAGTATGTGTGTGTGTGTGTGTGAATGTCAAGTCATCAACCCACTGATATGTGTGTGTGTGGTGGGGGGGTAACACAGACAATAAAATCTGATACACACAATACCGTACCAAACAAATAAAAGTGAAGACAAACTAAAATCCTTTAAGCCATATCCCACAATTTCTGGGGTTTATTTCTACATCAGTCTTACACAACGACCCTTACCATTTTTTTCTCTTCTTGAAGTTGTATTTTCCTTAATCTACTGCATGCAATGGAGGAAAGCTAATAGACTGTTAAAAAAACCCACTTATAACTGTACTTACATATACTATACGTCTGTCCTGTCCCTGTGTCTGCCCGTTAACTTCCAGTGTATGATTCAGTGAATCAGTGCATTTTAAACTGACATTTGTCTGTCTGCAATAAAGAAATAATAGATAAAATTTTACATCAAAATGCAACTGTAATAACAAAATGTTAACAACACTACTGACTACAATTAAGAAACTAAATTACAGTATACTGTACCTGCAAAAAAATATCTGATTAATAGTGCTGAATTCATCTGTAACTGAATACTGTACATTACATTCATTAAACACTGAAAATCATCTACACAACACTCAATCTCTTTGGCAGAATTCATCATTATCCATTAATTGTCGATAAAAGATGCTTTATAACATACAGTAAACCCTTGATACCTCGGCATTTGATAACTCAGAATTTCATTTAACTCGGCATGGATATGGTCTCGGAATGTATTACAGTATAACTCGGGAAATCCTGAGATAAATAAAATTATCTGGGAAAATATTGACATATCTGGCCACCTGCATCACCTACCATGCCTGTGTCACCTACCATGCCTCTGTGTCACATGCCATGCCTGTGTCACCTACCATGCCTTTGTGTCACCTACCATACCCCTGTGTTACCTACCATACCCCTGTGTCACCTACTATGCCTTTGTGTCACCTACCATACCCCTGTGTCACCTACCATGCCTTTGTGTCACCTACCATACCCCTGTGTCACCTACCATGCATCTGTCACCTACTATGATGCTTTATTCTTTGCCTGCAGTGCTGGTAAGTGCTACCTTTTTACATTTAATAATTATATGTACAGTCAGCAAAATATCATTCTGCACCTTTACGGGTTCCTACAGCATGACACACCGGACCAAGAATTCTGAAAACACTCATGAGTTAAAGCGGACGTTGGTAGCCCTGGCTTCCTGAGTTGCCAGTTACTCTGTAGAATGTAGATAGTATTTACCATAAGGTGTTTCAGTGTGTCTGCATGCACAATGTGTTACCAGATGCGAATGGAGCAGTTAACATCATTAACTATATTTATAAAATAATCGAATTAATATCAAAAGCAGTTGTCATTGCCGATCGTTTTTGGCAACATAAAGGCTTATGAGTGAATGGTTATCATTTATTAGTGTAACAGACATAAACACCCAGTCACGTGGGTGCTTGGAAACACCGAGCCGCCTAGCAATCGCACCATTACTCAGGCCCTCTCCATGAGTGCTATGATTGTTGCGCGTGTTCTCTCTGAGGTCTTCATAATGACTAACATATCTATGACTGGAGTATGGCCTATTACAACTGCTGTTTGCTCTGATGGTCTACCCTTTACAGATCGAAACTGCTCTGTCTCTAACAGATTCATTACTGTACATTCTTTAAAATGAGCACACTTCCTCTGGCGAAATTCTTTGCTACACTGTATTAAATAACACTAATAATGCTTTTGCTTTGTGAATTTTACTACCATTTACCCTCAGTTAACCCCCTATTCTTATCATATTTTGTGACATATTAAATAGATATAGCTCGTTTCTTAACTCACATATTTCCGGTAGCTCAATTACCAATGCGTAATATTGTATAACTTTCCTACGTTACAAATGTTTCGTATTGTTTTTTTCTGGTTAAGGTCTTGTCTTATGCCACTTCTCATCACTTTCTCAGATAGTGGTTATAATCATGAGTATTTACACGATTTCGTTGTATCTCATAGTTTGCGAAATTCCTATATGGCACCTTAGTTTCTAAGTGCCTGCCATTCCTACCGTATGTGGGTGATTAAACGTAGTTCTACAGTAGTTTAGTATATTATGCTATGACATTATCTGGTTTAAGTGCTATGGGTTATACAGTACTGTATATGTATTCCTGATAATTTCTCTGTGGTTACTACACATGATACAGTATAAGGAGTAACAGCACATTAGTTTTACAATGAATCACACAATCAGAGATACCAACCTTACCAATACATGGCGTCAGTCTCGCAGTGTTCGTTGCAAGAGCCATCGCACCCGGGGGTGCAGAATAATTTTTTGCTGACTGTACACATATATGGGTCGATAATCTTTTAGTGTTGTATTTTTGTTGGAGGGGGGAAGTGCCTCGATAAGTCGGAATTCGGGATAACTCGGCAAGGCCAGAGCCCCATATGTGTCAAGTTATCGAGGGTTTACTGTAGTTCTGTTTAGTGTCCTTGTGCTGCTAATTTCAGTCCATAGAAGATGAATTTTGAAGGAATGTGTAAAGAATTTCATAAAATTTGATACACTCTAGCCCTGTTTAATGCATACCTGAGGTATGCCTGGCCTATGGCCTAGGAACTGTTAAACAAACAAATCTTAAAGGCTAACTTCTAAAAGGCTGTTGGAAAAGTAATTAAATAAAAAACATTTAAGATGGTATTAAAAAAATATATACAGTATTGTAATAGCATTAATCTCCTCACTCAAAGAAATTATATATCGTAGTAGCTGAATGAGGAAATCTTCTCAGAAAGTTAATTACTCTCTTGATTTCACAAAAGTTTTTTTTTAAATCCCTCCAATGTATAGTTACTACAATCCTAACCTAACAGGGATTCATCTTTTCTCATTTATCTTCTTCACCACTGATCGGCTCATTAGCTGCTTGGGCGATTGGTCACATCTCTGTTACGCACTGTTGGCAAGTACTGGGCATGCACCGGCTCCTGAATGTACCTGAACCTGCTCCAGTGTTGGTCAAGTCTGGTTTTGAAAGAGCTCACACTTGGTGCCATCACAACACTTTCTGGCAGATTGTTCCAAGAGTTCACAACTCTCACTCCGAAAAAGTTTGCTCTCACAGTTTTCTGAACCTGCAGCTTCTTCAATCTTGAGCTGTGACCCCTTGTGGGGCGAGCATCCGCCAGTTCCAAGTAAGGACACTCGACTGAGTAGTGCCCCTTGAGATACTTATACACCTCAATTAGGTCGCCCCTTGCCCATCTGTAGTATAAGCTAGGCAAGTTCAGGCGCTCCAATCTCTCAGGGTAGTTGAAGTGCCAAAGTGCACGCACTAGTCTGGTAACCCTCCTTTGAACATTTTCAACCAACTGACAGTCCCTAGCATATCTCGGGGAACAGACAGGGTGACAGTACTCCAGATGGGGAAGCACTTCACTCTTGAAGATCATTACGAGGGACAGACCGTCTGGATATCTGAACGACCCTCTTATTAGACCTAATAATTTATTTGCCTGATTTGCCTTCTTTTAGCAATGGCCCGAGAACTTCAGCTCATTGTCAACATACACACCAAGTTCCTTCTCACATTGTCTCAAATAGTGCAGTTTCTTCATCCCGTTGGGACATATGATACACCTCCTTACCGTTGGTAAGTCCCAGGTGCTTCCTCTTACACTTCGTGACATTGAATCTCAGAAGCCATTTCTTCGACTATTCTTGGAGCTCACAGAGATCCTTCTGCAGCTTTTCACAGTACACTTGGTTCTTGATTTCCCGAAATAACTTGGAGTCATCCGCAAACATTTGTATGGAGGAGTGTACAACGTCAGGCATGTCATTTATGAAACAACCAAACAACAGCGGGCCCAATACACATGCAGTTATCTTACCCTCAAACTCTTCCTCACAACAGTTCAGTGATGAGTTTTACCCCATTTCTCAAGTGCAATCTTAACTTCTTTCAAGGATATTAAAGATCAACCAGCAACATTTTGGCTGCATATGAATAATATGTGAAGTTCTGGCCAAAACAAATGTAAAGTACTGAAGTTTCCATATGTACTGTATATACTGTACAGTACTAATGATTCAAGCCTTGTAACAGAATTAAGATAATAATGGATATAAATCAGAAAACAAATAAAAAAGAGAAAAGGCATATGAGCTGTAAATAATAAACTAGGTACCTGTAGTAAGTAGTAGGCAGCTATCAAACAGGGAGGTACTACCACCTGGGAAGATATTGGAAGCTTAACGTGTTGTCTAATGGTAGACCCTGCTGCCATATGGCACCACAAAAATTGTGACCAAGTCCCAGGTTGCTGATCTGACTTTCTGCCTCATTTATACACAATTACAGGGTTTCAATTGTTTCTCGTACTATTGACAACACAACATACATATATTGTTTCTCAATTTTTTTTATTTTTTATTATTATTATTATTATTAGTTTTATTATTGTCATTATTATTATTTTATTATAAATTTTATTTACTAGGAATTATTATTATTATTATTATTATTATTATTATTATTATTATTATTATTATTATTATTATTATTATTATTATTATTATTATTATTGTTATTGTTATTATTATTATTATTATTATTATTATTATTATTATTATTATTATTATTACATTTTCGTCCTCCAGGCCCCGATGTGGGTCAGTGACCTGTGCCTGGGTGGGATAATCCCAGTAAAAATAAATAAATAAACAAATAAATAAAAAATCACCTACTTTTCATAGTTGCGGCTGTAGTATGAAATCACCCACATCTGAGTCTTATTGTCAAAGAAGAATTTGCCAGAATCTTGAGTTCCAATGTTGAAATAACCACGTACAGTGCCATGACACACCTGTGGATTGTTTTAGACTTATTCAGGTATATTTAAACTCTTATAACCTTAGATCTATACATACAGATATTACTTGACCCATAACTACTCTGAATGATATATAATATATTTATCCTATAAGTAAATGGGCACAGTACAGTATATAGACTATATACAAACAAATCATCTTATAAGAAAACTATGTTAATGTGAATCACACAAAAGAAAAATCTAAGAACAATCTTAATTACTATGAATGATATAGTATACTGTAATGAAATCACCTTAAAATTAACTACAGGTACCATTATAATATCCGTGATTCACATGAGAAAATCATATCAAAAGAATTATAGTCACAGTAAACCACATACCATAACAGAGATACTGTACAAACAACATTTGCCAGAATCTGTTGAAAAAATAACTACAATACTGTATATACATAACTGTATATTATTTATACTTGAACTAAATGTTGTACAAATACTGTATGTAAAAAAAAAAAATTAATTCCATTATCCATCTTTTGAATTTTTACTTTGTAAAGCTTTTGTAAACAATAAAAAGAATCAATACTACTTTAATATAAAATACAGTATTCCAGCCAACATAATACTGTACTGTACTGTATTGTTTTGTGTCCTAATGTTTAACATGTGTTGAGTCAAATTCAAGGTGCTAATAAGTTTCTTAAGCTTTACATTACATTACAGTACGTATTACAAAATTAACATTCCCGGAGCAATAAAAAGTTCTCATTATATCAGACTTTGGAGTCTAAATAAGAGATACTGTACGTACTGGATATGAAATGATCTTTTATAAACAGACTGCAAAGTTCAAAGTCTCAGTTACTGTATAATGGAGAATTAACATAAGGGCTCAATGTCACTGACTATTCAAAGATTCTTACGGCAACATTATTACTGCATGACATCCCTTGGCCATCTGGAGGGTAGACGTACGAGTAACAGGGATTGTAGTAATATAAACTATTATCTGATGAGTTTTTAGATTTGCAGTCTTTAAACCTGAAATAAAATATATACATATAAAACAAACTTTCAAAATGCTAAGACTGATAGTTAAAATACAATATCCCAAAGCTCTAGATCTAATAAAACATAGAGCTATTCTACCTAAGTCTAGCCAAACATAAACTACAGGTACTCTAAACTAAAAATATTCAAATTCAAGCAATAAAAGCATTACTTTATGGTTGGCACCAAATGTAATGTTTATCTGTAGTGATATGTCAATACTGTACTGTACTGGTTTAGATTAGTTTAAACTCAAGAAAGCTTTTACTTCATCTAATTAAACCTAGCTAGATTGCCCATAAATACCAGGGTGATATTCTGGTTATTGGAACCCCAAACAATTCTCTTTACCAAATACCCTGTATCTCAACAATTTACAACACAAAAAGCACATACATATACAGTATAAATAAGTTAACACTCAGAACTGAGACACAAATAAAAATAAAAATTTATAAGAATCATAAACTGTACTGTACAGAACTAAACAACTTTTTGTTTTTCTGTTGATGCACTGTACAGCACAAGGTACCTGAAAACACTATATAGTACGGTATACAGCATTATGGCATTATTATACACACTGACAATTTCATGTGAAGTACCCTGTAGTGTAGTCCATAAGCAGGGCTTCAAAAATTCACTTGCCTGTGACGAGTGGAATATCCTTAGGGCAAGTTAAAGTTTATACAGGTATTTACTAGCCCATCAGGCACATGGTAATTTTCCTGCATGCAAATGTGAAAGTGTCTAACACTGTTTTGCTATAAAGAAAGAAAATGGTCATATGATTTTTTTTTCAATTAAAATAATAGAAAAATATTACTGTATCTCTTAAGCAAATATTTTGGGCTAATAAAAATTTGTGTGGGCTAATGGATTTAAAAACTTACGAGCCCGATGGGCTTGTGGAAAAATTATAGATTCAGGAGGCCTGCATAACCTAATATAATTATAATATATTTTTCTAAATTCATTTCTCCAAAACAGAAAATATATACCTCAGTATATATTTTTGGAATCAGTACAAATATCTAAATAAAAAATATATTTTATATTTTTTGGGGACATGTTACTGTACATGAAACCAAAAGACCCAAATGGTGTAAAACTGGTGTAAAGCTGTAGCCACCACCATCGCTCTTACAGAAGAACCGAGGGGGAAATACGTAAGTACATACCGTACTGGGTGTTATTTTATTTGTGGCCCATAATTGCTTTGATAATTAAAAACATGTTTTTCCCACACTTTAGACAATTCTAAAACATTTTTTTTCTATGACGATTCCCTCGTAAATGACTTGTATATGGCAGGGTTAGGTAAGGTAATTTTCAGGTCATTTGCGAGGGAACGTGATAGAGGAAGTGTCTTAGAATTGTCTAAGCTATCGGAAAAAGTCTTTGATTTTGTAATTATGGACCATATGGAAAAATTTACAAATAATTATCTCTTACTGCAAAATAATCAATGTATTGCTTTGAGAAATTATCCCCAGATAACTGAAGTCTGATGTCAATAACACACTTACTATATATAAATTGTTTTGTCTTTTAATAATCTGGAGTTAACGCACAATATCTTGTAAGACGCATTGGACTAATGTGTTTTTTACTCTGAAGCCGTTTAGTGATGCCACCGTTGCGGAGGATCAAAAATCTAACAATGAGTGAGCTAACCTCCTTGAATCAGGCAGCACCATATAATGTAATTGGTAATTGTGAGTCCATCCCATTAGATCCTCCACCAAACTCAAACATAATTACGGTGGAAGCCAAAAGCCTCACCTAGGAGCGTCTTGTGGTGAGGCAGCGACCATCATGAGATTTATTTCGGATCCATTTTTAAATAGTAACTTGCAAGATTGTGGGGAGTCAGCGCTGGTCCCTCCTGACAGCCACACTACATACACACACACCACACCCAACACGCTTCTGCAAAACTTGAACATCATTTATCAGGTTGATGGTTGACTTAGTTATTCAGACAAGTAATGTGGTCGGTATAGATTGTGATTAAACATTTCACAGATCGAGGAACTTGTACCACTTATCAACACCTGTGAGTGACAACTAACCACTTGTGACAGTGACAGTGCGCATGGCCAGTGTTATCACAATACTACCAACTTGAAGCTGACCCGTTATTTTAGAAGTAAACAACACACTTTTAATCTATTTAACGATATCCTAACCACCATATCACATTTACAGTTACGTTAGGTTAATTCGTATTTTATCAAAAGTTCCTGAAATTATATCAACGTCAACCGTCGTGTTAGTCAACAGACCCAGCTGATAAGTGAGGCTTTCATAATTACCCAAAGTAAGTCAGCAAAAAGATTATTTACACTGTATCTCGTATTGGTATCTTATATTGAAGTTTGTGTTGAATTTTTTCTGTTCAAATACTAATATTTATAATAATTATACTTTGAATATTTTGTTCGTATCTCTCGAACCCCATGTCGAGTATTTATTTATGTGGATAAGAAGTTAATATACAGGTATAAAAGTATACTACTGTATATATGCTTCATTTCTGTTACATGTAACTTATTTTCTCAAGATGTTTTCTTACTTGACAATATAAATCAAATTATGAGAATTCACACATTAAAAAAAAATTGAAGCAAACATGTAATGTACTACAACATGTGATGTACAGTCACCCCAATAAAGTCCTGTGTGACCCAGGTTCATCCTCTTACGCTTAGTGGTTGAATCTTAGCAGCCATTTTTCAACCACTCTTGAAGTTCAGAGATTTTTCTGCAGCTCTACGCAGTCTGTTTGGTTCTTAATTTCCCATAATAACTTGGCATCATTCGCAAACATTTGCATGGAGGAGTGTATAGCTTCTGGCATGTCATTTGTGAAACATACAAACAACAACAGGCCCAATACACACTGCCCTGTGATCCTGCGTGTCACGGGTACACCTGAAGATTTCGTACCATTTATCACCACACTGTTTGCGGTCCTGCAGAAAGTCTCCGATCCACCTAGGACATTTCCCCGAATCCCATACCCTTCCAGTTTAATTCTCAGCCTTTCATGGGGAACGCTGTCGAAAGCCTTGGTAAAATTTTGGTGTATATTGTCGATATTGCCACCCTGTCCCAAATTTGGGTTCAAATATCCAGGACCTTGAGTAATTGTGTTAAGCAGGAACGTCCCGGCATAAAACCGTGTTGGCAATCCTTTACAAGGCTGTTTCGTAGTAGATGTTCCATCATTGCTTCTCTTATAATGCTCTCAAGTACTTTACACACTATGCTGGTCAGGCCCACTGGTCTATAATTATTCGTGGAGTGACGATCGCCCTTCTTGAAAATAAGATTCACACGAGCATTTTCAGAACAGGATATTCAGGGACCCAGCAAGCTCAATGTACTCTTAGCACTCTGAGATGTACAATGTCAGGGGCGGGACTCTTATGAACCTTTAGCTTTGACAATGTATTTCTTATACCCACTTCTGAGAACACAATGTGGGTCAGCGTTGTGTCAAACCGTCTGTCCTCAAACTCAGTAAGATTGACTGTCCACATCCTCTCTTGTGAACACCGAGTTTGGCATGTTACTGTCATGTTAACGGTAATGAAATTCAATGTTCTCAAGTATCCTTACATCCAAGAGTTGTTATTTTTTATTTCAGATCTTATTTAATTTTATTTTTTTTCATATTTCCTAATTTTTCATTTGGCTTAACTCAAGAAGCGGTCCAAGGTAATGTTCTCACTAAGAGGAAAAAAGTTTTGTTTGTTTTAACACATTTATTTAACATCACATTGGTGAAAGATCTACTCTGAATTTCGAGTGTCCGTATTTTCCCGGACATGTCCTTCTTTTTGGCCTTTAAATCTGCTTCCGGGAGGAATTTTTATATTGGTTAAAATGTCAGGGATTTCTAACTTTATAATTTTTCCCCGTGAAAAATGTACTGTTTGAGGGGAAAAAGTTAATGTTAATCAAATGAGAGCTTCGTTGAGTTTTCGTCCTCAGGAACGCTTGTATTTTTTCCGCTTTAAGTTAGAGTTTCATTTACGCATTTGCAGTGCGTTTTCATTTTCAATCGCTATAGGGAGCGATTGGCATGTACTGCAAATGCATAACTCTAACGCAACCGTGCCAATGGAAGCAACCGTGTGCATTTAAGTGTAATCCATTTTTGGCGCTAAACGCTAACGCAACCGCTAACGCGTGAATGGAATCCTAGCTTTACTCTGCAGCAGAGATGCCAGTTAAGCGATTTTGGGACTATATGTAGCAGTATTCATTTACATTTAGCAGCACATCGACATTTAACGATAGAAAATCTAGAAGTGTTGGAGACATTCTTATCAAGTTTTTTATGATTTCCTCATAATTGCTGGAGATTTTTGTCTGTGACATTCTATAACGATATTTAGGAGCAAATAGGCGTATAGCGGTTAGCGATGTTAGAAATTAAAATTGTTAACTGTTAACCTTCGCCTTTGGATTGGCGCGAGGCGTAGCTCAGTGCCTCTCTGAGTGCTTAGTGTTATTATGTGTATATCTGTGGGTTCTGTGTTCCTCTAAACTCTTACGAAACGCTCATTATTATATATTGTTGCTTATAGCATACTACCCTCAAATATAATGCTAAAATACAAATGTAAATTCAGTGCAGATTTTAATAACAAATTGCCCTATTTTAAAAGTGGTAGAGAAGAGAAGAATGGGAAGCTGAATGCTTGAACTTGCGCTTCTGTGGCAAATAAAGGCATTCATGATTTACAAACGAATGTGAACTCAGACAAACACAAGAAAGCAGTTCAATGATAGAACTCATCAAAAAAATCGACAGATTATTTTGTAAAACCAGATAGTAAATCAGAAGATGCAGTTACTGCTACAGTATACTTAATGCATTTCACACTGTTAAGTATCACAATAGTTTCAAATCAATGGATTGCACATCTGCCTTGGTGATGAAGACATTTCCTGATTCTGAGGTAGCACGAAAGTCTTTAGTGCTCGAAGACATAAGCGATTGTTAACCCTGTGTTTGCACTACATTCTATTGATGCTGCCCTGAGTCTTTGAAGAAAATATAGCCTACTGTAAAGTTTCTACAGATGGAAGCAATACGATTTATTTAAAATATTTCCAGTAATTATTCATTATTTTGACTGGAAGAGTGGTGGTTTACAGTCAAAACTGATTAAAATTCAGAACACATCTAATGAGACTTGCTGACACAATTGCTAATTATGTAAAAGAAACTTTTGAAAAAAATTGTTCGAGAAGTGTATCGCATTCACAGGTGACAACTACAATATAACGTCTGGAGGACTCCGGCGTGATATAAGGAAGGAATGTGTTTACAAACCTCAAGATGAAACAAAAGAGATCATTAATTGGAATAGGTTGCCCAGGGCATATTTTGAACAACTGTGTTCACCATGCAGCAGAAAGAATAGATGTTGATATTGAAAATATTATCTTTAAAATATATTAGCATTTTCATATAATACACTCCGAAATGAGCAGCTGAAGGAGTAGTGTGAGTTTGAAGTTGGATACAGACAGCTGCTTTCTTATAACAAGACTCGCTGGCTGACACTATTTCCAGGCATCATAAGGCTGGTACAGATGTTTCTGGCTTTGAAGTCTTTTCTGTCACTGGACAAACCACCCACAATGATTAAGATTTTATTTAGCATGAATTGAATGAGATTTACCTCTGGCACATGCATTCATTAATAAGTGTATTCCGAACACATCCAAGAAATTGAAAGGGAAAGCTATTCTGTTGTAGCAGTGCTGAAAAGTTTGGATTGTTCGTACTATCCTTCTAGAACGCAAGAGTCAGAACTTAACGTTCTTGAAAGTTACAGGACTATCTTACCTACATGTATTTGCACATAAGCGTATAAAAGGAAATGATGTAGTGTAACAAGTTCTTTGCTGAAGTAGGCTAAAGTTAAAGTCGCCTACTATAAAGACTTTGCTATGTATGGAAGCCCTGCGCATTTCATCCCAAATGAGCCGCTCATTAACTTTATCAAGATTAGTAGGTCTATATATTACTTCTGTGATTAATTTTTCCCTACCATCGATTAATTCTATCCAAATTGTTTCTGTATTCCGTCCAGTATTTAGTTCCTTATTTATTTCACACTTCAGATTATCCCTGGCATAGATTGCTACTCAGCCTCCTTTCGTAATCTGCCTATCGGTATGGAATAAGTTGTAACCTGCAATTTGGTATTCGACAAGTAACTCCCGTGAGTCTAGGTTTATCCAGGTTTTGGTGAATGCTATTTATCGATTTTTTCGGTACATACCAACGCCCTGATTTCATTCATTTTGTTTCTCATACTTCTACTGTTTGCGTAGTAGACATTTAAGTTAGTCGTGTTCTGAGTCCTCTCTTTGTCGGGTTTAGGTTTAACTCCCTGCCTAATTTAGTTTTGTCATAATTCCTAGCACTATTTCCCTGTAACCTTTCACTTTGCTTACCCTCTCCCACTGCAGTCTCCACCCCTGTGCTCATATGTTCTCCGAGCAGTTTAAAGACTGAACTAATAGCAATAAAAACACACTGGATGAGCTTACAAACCAAGAACAAGATAGAGTGCTGTCTTAAGTCTAACCTAACCTAACCTAACCTAAATATCATGTAGACCGCACGCTATAGAAGCACCACAACTTCAGCCTAATAGCACGTAGGTTTTGATGATTTAGCCATGTAGATAATTTTTCAAAATTTTCGTTATTGTAAGATTAATGTTGATGTACTTCTAAAGGTACGAACATGTCTAGCATATTGCTAGTGAAAGTCAAGGAATTTGACATCCCATCCGCCCCCCCCCCCTCTTTTCCCCAGTCATCAACTCATCGTTGCCAATTTGTTGGTCGTACTGAGATAAACTTTAGTCACGCTTTTAAAAAATCAATTATAATGTTCTATTCAGTTATATTTTCCAATATCTATGTGTAAAATAAGTGAAATCACTGAAATGCAGTGAATAGTACAGCTGTAGCGTGGTTGTTGGCCTGTCCGGACGCGCGCGAAATGGATAGACTCGTAATTCAAACTAAACTCTTAATTAAGTCAATTATTTTGCTTGATTGTTGCTTGATAAAAACCATTATAAAATCAGAGTATTATCCAAGAAATAAAAATTATCGTTTAATACGTTAAGGTGATAAAAATACATGAGATAGCGTCAGCTAGCGGTTGAGCCTCTAGACTCTGGGAGCAGACGACAGGGCGTGTGGATGCTCTTCAGTCTGGTTTTGGCCAGTGGCGAGTGAACGTAGAGTTTTCGCTCCCGTTCACTGTGAGTGTCCTGTGATTTTAGCGATATTTAGAAAAACTATTTTGATAAATCATTTTTGTGAATACACTACGTGTTGAGTGATAAGAGATGTTGATTAGAAAACCCCAGTGACGTGTAAAGCTAGAGATATTACAAGAAAGTTCTTTTTTTCCACTGAGGCTGGAGCGGCCTATGGTGGTGTATTTAATCGTGGTAGTATTAAAGTGGAAGTTATTATTCGTCAGTTCAAGTATATCCCGCCGTGACTTTATATATCGTGTCTAGTGTGTGAAATTTTATCCTAGTGAATTGTCGTCTGTTCTGTTATTTGAATTGTAATGTTTCTATAGATTTCACAAAGAAAAGGTGAAAAAAATATTTTAAGGATATGTTAGGTTTTGTGTATCGGTGTTAGAAATATTAATGTTCAGTAGGTCTTCGATAATAATCAAGTAAATCCGTGGAAAGTGAAATTAATGCAGTGTATAATTTTTATTCAGGGTCAGTCCCAGTTTCCATTAGTGAAGTAAATCAGTGTATCTGGTGAGCTTTATCAGTGACTCCAAGTGTAGCAGTGAGTGTATTCAAGTGTAGAGTGTGTGCAAGACGGTGTATGGTGTAGTTCTCTCTCCACCGTCACCACCACCATGGGCACAATGAGGCTGTCCCTCTCCCTCCTACTACTACTGTCCGCTCAACTCATCCACACAGGTCAGTCACTTTAATTAAATGCGTGCTTCTGGCTGGGTGTAATCCCCCCCCCCTACACTTAGTATTAACTTAGGTTAGATTTTAATTACTGGTACTTAAGTTTTAATTCAATAACTACTGGGGGGGGGCTGGGTCTGCTCTGTCTCCCTAATATATGTTAAAGTATCTTAAGGGTGTCTTACTGAATGCTGAAAGCGTCCGAATTTACAGAAAATATAGAACAAAATTTAATTAAACTCATATATGTGTCTTATGGAAACTGATTGATGAATAAAAAATCCTCTCGCCAAGCCAGTTCCAGTGATACTTGTGTGTGTGTGTGTTTATTGGGGCAACAGCAAACGACGATAACCCAAGGCTATAACAATCCAATTGATGTGGAATTCAACAAATGTGATCCGTTACCAGTGGTAACTTACCACCGATAACAAGCAGCAGTGGTTACACGTAGACTCAGTTTTCATACCTGACCCAAGTGGTTTGGGATTTGACAGTTTTGCTCCGAAAGCAATTAACAAGTGCAAAAAAAAAGGGGGGGGGGACTAGCAAGCATAAACTAACCTATAAATTATTGTAACATTAACCAATAGATTTTGTTGGTTCGTTTTGTGTATCAGTATTAATTTTGCTTCCTGGAGGTAGATCCTTACCGATATCATCAACACTGAACGAAACTTGAAACCTTCGACACCGTGAGACGCTGTTATGTCTCTCGCAATGTGATCATTCTTTGATGACAAGTCCGTAGTGGTAGTCATCAACAATCTTTAGCGGTAGTATTTTGTTCTCCATAAACAGTTGGCAGTAAGGTGAATCAGTGGATATAATTTGCAATTTTTTTCTAAACTAAAATAGGGTGTAATTACAGGGTACTACACTATAGACAAAACGAAAGAAACTTAATGATCATACAGTATTTTCTTTATTATGTTTGGTTGGTTCATTTTATCGTATTATACAGTAAGTGGTGGGTCCAAAAACTACTCTTGTCCAAAAATAAACATTGATTATCTGCCATGTGTGCACAGTGACTGTAGTAATTAACACATTTATGGTTCGTTGTGTACAGCACAGAGATGACTGGCAAATGTTACATTGGCGCTCAACTAGCTCAATTTCCTCGAACTTAAAGTCTTAATTGTTCTAGAATATCTGCACAATGGCGGTGTGCAGGAATCAGTAGAATTATGGCTTGTTGTATAAAGTTCAACTGGAGGATATAGTGGTTGGCCATTCCTAGACTACCTGCATCTTCCAACCATTTTGTTATCTTCTCTACAAAACTGGATATGCATCCAACCCAGGAGTGGGGGTGCGGCTCGGGCCTCATGGAAGGACAGGAGAAAGTGCACGAGAATCCCCTGTGTCATCCGCACCTCCCAACAAAATTTCAGCTTTGTCTTCAAAACTTGAAATGCATAAGGAACATACAGACAGACGCATATATATATATATATATATATATATATATATATATATATATATATATATATATATATATATATATATATATATATATATATATATTTATTAAGCAGAGCTTCTGTGTTTTTCCCGTAGGTTATTAACAAAAACGTCATATGGTCTTTTTTTTGAAGTGTCAACCGGTACAGTACCTTCTTTAGATCTGTAATTGTTCTTCAATGTATCTCAACTTTAAGAAAGCTGTCTTATTAGTTCTGGTTTGTCTCATGGTAACGACTAATAGTTCATGGACATGCGTGTTTTTCTAAGACTTTAACAAAGATTTAGGTTCTGGGTCCAGATCTGGCTTACTTATTTTACTGTAGCCTGGCTGTACTTACTCTGTTGTTACAGAAGGCGAGGCCTGTGGAGATTGAGTGTTTGGTATTATGTATATATTGACCTGATAGATTGTGAGTAAGTTTGTAGGTTGGAAATAAGATGAGATTGTAATTTAAGTCAGAGGTAATAGTTGTTATAGTTAGATTTAATTAAAGGCGTTAGTTGTTAGGTGACGATGGTAGTTGTTACAGACGCCAGCCTGTGGGTGTTGGTAGACTTGGACAGACAGTACTGCCAACATAATAATAATTAACTGTTTATTGAAAAAGTTTTGCAGCCCAAAGGCTGAAAATATACATTGGACATAAATGACTTATTACATACATTGGTGGTTTAACAAAAGCCTTCATTAGATAAAGGTAAAGGAACATACAGGTTAATGTAGATTAATGTAGGTGTTGAACAGCAAACACGTAGTGTAGTAACTCCCTCACAGATGGTGTTATGAGGGACCAGGTTAATGTAGATTAATGTAGGTGTTGAACAGCAAACACGTAGTGTAGTAACTCCCTCACAGATGGTGTTATGAGGGACCACACGTGGTGCAGTAATTCCCCCACAGATGGTGTTATATGAGTGAGGTGTGGTCCCAGGCTTTCCTATCGTAGACGGATTAACACATCCTTGGTTGTTGTTGGGCCTCACGAGCAGTTATCACTGGGTACCTGGGACCTCACTGTGTGAAGTTTAACTTGGGTACGACTTGGCTGTTACTGTTGAGATGTTTTCACTGACTTAAGCACTGTTCAACACTGGTTCCATTCCTTTTCTAAATGAAATTGTAACTTCTGGCGAGAACTTGTTGATATTCCGGTGGGGAGGAGGGGTTCAGGGGAGGGAGTTGGTATGGGCCAACTTAACAGTTGACCTGGCTGCTCCCAGAGGAGCGCCAGGTCCGTCTTGACCCTTGGGTGGTCAAGGACTCTCCCCTTGTATGTGTGTGAGAAACATGGATAGGTTAAGTCACTTTGATAACCGAATACGGTAACTTCTTATCATTTTGTAATTACAGTACTTATTTTCTCAGGATGTGTTCATTTATTGTCGAAACGTTGCAAAATGTATTTGTATTGAACAAGGCCTGGAAGTAAACATAAGAACATAAGAATGGAGGAAACTGCAGCGGGCCTATTGGCCCATACTGAGCAGTCCCATTTACACCAACCCCTATTGCTCATATGCGCATCAACCTATGTTTGAAGCTATCCAGCGTATTCGAGTTAATGATGATATTTGGTAACCTGTGGTTCACATAAGCTACACGGTCACACGCACGCACGGACAAAATAAATGTAAATAAATACTGCTACTAATATTAGTATACGTTGTTAATTATAATATTTAATAATTAAATAGGCCTCTGTTCTGAATCTGTGACTTTAAAGTAGTTCTTCCCTAGTGTTCATTCTCTTTCATGAATCTATCACAATCTTATATATATATATATATATATATATATATATATATATATATATATATATATATATATATATATATATATATATATATATATATATATATATATATATATATATATATATATATATATTTTTTTTTTTTTTTACGGGGATTAGCCCACCCGGGCACAGGTCACTGACCCACATCAGGGCCTGGGGGGCGAAAATGTAATAATAATAATAATAATAAAGAACCATAAGAAATAAAAAAATTTAAAAAAGATAAATAGTGAGAAACAATATATGTATGTTGTGTTCTCAAAGTAAGAGAAACAATTGATACCCTGCAATTGTGTGTAAATGAAGCAGAAAGTCAGATCAGCAACCTGGGTCACAATTTTCGTGATGCCATATGGCAGCAGGGTCTACCATTAGACAACACATTATGCTTCCAACATCTTCCCAGGCGGTAGTACCTCTCTGTTTGGTAGCTGCCTAATACCTACTACCTACCAAATGGAAAAGGTTGTAGCGATATATATATATATATATATATATATATATATATATATATATATATATATATATATATATATATATATATATATATATATATATATAAGGTACTGGGAATTAAGCTATTTCTCTACATGACGACTTCGTGCAGACTGTTCATTGTTTCGTAGGTCATGATGTCTATATCAGAAGAGTGAACTTGCGACAAGGCTTGGTGTTGGCTGCAGGTGAGTTGAGCAGGGCTAACGCAGCTCTTTTGTAGGAGCCAGTCGACCTGTGATTGATCCTTCAGACCCACGAAATCTCCCAACACAAATGCCGATTGTGTTCATGGGGTGGTTATGGTGGCACACGGCCCATCAGCGGGTTTACTGTGATAATTCATTTGGATATAGAATTAGGATGAGTGCCAATAGCTCACATCAGACAGTTTTGGTAAACAAAAAATTCCATTGGACCCTTGGGCCTCCCTTTTTATGGATTGACCCCAAATTATACTCTTTATAACTGTCTTCTTTGTGTAAGGCACCAACTATTTTGTTCTGAAATAGTTAGGATAATATGATAGTGAGTAATCGCATGTTGGTGCACCATATTTTTAATAATGCAACATTATAGGAATCAGGGTCTGGTGTTTCTGTATAAAGTCACGGCATGAGTCACACCCTGTAGAGGGCAGTGGTCGTGTTGCTCAACTCTCGTCGTTTTCAAATTCCTGTGTAAGAGTTTAGGTACCTGTATTTTTACTGTTGTGCATTGAATTATTAAAATGAAATGAAAGGATGTATTTGGGGTGGTGGAGTGTAACTGCCGCCTCGGTGTTGAACTGCCAGTCGCCTCCCTCGTGTCGTAGTGATGCAGAAAGTTGCCACTTAGTTTTTATATGCCTAAATATGTTTTAGCTTGAAATACTGTTTGATATGTTGTTATTTTTGTCTATTCTTTATTCCTTTTTAAAACTACATGTTCTGGTGGCGTAGAAAATGTATAACTAGTGATAAACCCGACCAATAAATCTAAAACATTAAAAGACAAAATGGAACCTGCCGCCTACACCAATCGATCTGAACGTAGCCAGGCCATTTTTGCATATATTTACGCGTTTTCCCTCTGTATTTCGTGGGCGTTGTTCCAGTTTACATCGCGGCCATACACAAACATGGCGTGGATTGCTGGCAGTGATCCCGAGGAGCTGAGGACACGGT